CCACACACATTTTGCTTTTTACACCATACTCTCCTTCTACGACTTTGGTTAGGATGGTATCTGACGCTTCGAGGAATCTTCTACACTCACATGAGACTCCCCAGGGATCAGCCCTTTAGATAGTGTATACCTGCTGGCTTCAGGATGGTCTTTCATCCTGTACCTCTGGCTCAGTAGCTAGGGAGAGCGTATGTGGTCATAGTAGCAAATATTTACGATGACAGAATAATGGCCCTTAAATATGTCCAGGTCCTAATCCCTGGAAGCTGTGCACATGTTACCTTCCATGGCAAAAGGGATTTGCAGATGTGATTAAAATAAGGATCTTGCAAACTGGGAGACCTTCCGGATTGTCTGGGTGAACCCAATGTATAGGGTCCTTACAAGCGGGAGGCAGGAGGTTCAAGGTCATAAAAAGGTGGCATGATGAAGGAAGCAGAGGTGGTGTACACCCTTTGAAGCCAAGGATGCAGGCAGCCTCCAGAAGCTGGACAAGATGAGGAAACACATTATCTTCTGAAGCTTCTAGACTGAAAGAAGTCCTATCAACACCTCACCTTGATTTTAGACTTCTGACCTCCAGAACCATAAGAGAATAAACTTGTGTTACATTAAGCCACCACTGGCTTTGTGGTAATTAGTTGCAGCGGCCCTTGAACACTAATCCAGGATCTAACTCTGATGTCCCCAGCTGCCACCTGCTGGACTATGGAGCCTCTTCTCTGTTCTTACAAGGTTCTCCCCAGTTAGGCAGGATAGTCCCTCGTATTTCACGAGTGTGAAAGTGATCAGTTGCTCTGCTGCCCCTTTCTGGCCTCCTTGTGGAAGCTACTGCCTGCAGTAGGAGACTCCAACCACAGCTGCTGTGGGTGCCCTTCCCAGTGTCACAGTACCCCTGCCCCTCACTGGTGGTGCCACATGCTGACTTTTCCCTGCCGCTTTCGGTCACTTGGACCCCAGAGCAGCACTGTTTGTTCCCCCATTCCACCAAGACATCTGCGAGCAGGACCTTACCTGTCTGGCTTGCCCCCTTCCCTCCTTTGCAGATAGGCGCGGTGGGGGCAGGATCACCATCATCTTTTTCTTATTTCTCCTCAATTATTTCGTCTGTCTTGCTGAACCTTGCACCAAAACACATACCTTTCTGTTTAGTGTAAAGGCGAGGGCATGCTTTTCAAAGCTACATAAATCAAGATTAAGGTCCAGGGTAGTGGGAAGCATGGTGGGTGATCCTAACCCAACCCAGCTCTGGCCCATCTAAGACACAGATTATCTTAATGAGTGTCCAAGACATTTCTTTCTCAAGAATTCATTCTCAGAGTCCATTCATTTCATTCTCTTCTTTCTTTCTGCTTCTTTTTGCACTGGGACACCACTCTTAATGATGTCCCTATTTGGAGTGTCCTGGAGCTTTGCTTACTAGCTATCACTTTTCATCTTATCCCCTTAAATACAGGGATGTATAGGAAGTGGGGGCTTGACGGGGGTGCTGAAACAGTGATAACGATGCTAGCTGTGGAAATGAGCTTCAAACTCCCAATGACTAATAACCCAATAATAGTTTCTGCCTTGCTTAAAGCCCGGATGAGTGTTTCTCATAGGTGGGGGCCTTCTTCATGGCCATGGCCATCAGGGAACTGGGCTCCTTTCACTGTGCTGCGTTTATCTTGGAATCCTGTGCTTTTGGCGTTTGGATGGGGAAAGGCAGCGGAGCAGTGATCTTCATACCTTAACGTGTGTACAAATCACCTGGGGATCTTGTTAAAAGGGAGATTTGAATTTACTTGGTTGGGGCTGGGGCCTGAGATTCTGTGCTTCTTATAGGTTCCTGGGTGATACTGACGCTGTTGGTCTAAGGACCATTCTTTGAGAGACAAGATAATAGTGACTGGAACAGCAGGGGTCAGGGTGTGAGTTGAGGGGTGGCTTTTATGGGGATCAAGCCTGGAAGTGGCACATTTCATACTCAAGCCCCATTGGGAAGGGCCCAGCTGCATTGTCCCAAGCTCTAAAAAAAGGGCTGAAGAATCTAGTCCAGCTATGTGGCCAGAATGAGGAGGACAGATTTGTTACCCAACTGGCAATTTCTGTTACAGGGAGAGTCAGTGGAGGGCCAAGCACTTCCACCAGCTGCGCCTTCAGGGGGTGGCAGTGTCCTCTGTCTACAGTCAAGGGGGCAACAATGTGCAGAGTGCTCCTAGACTCATGGGAGTGGATGGATGCCATGTGGCTCCACCTCCTCAGTGAGCCTGCCTCACCACTGGAGCTCAGGTGAAAAGCAGGGGGAACCTGAGCTGGTGGAAGGGAGCCTTTCCTGACTCTGCGGTGAACTGTAAGCAGCCTGGTGTGGACGGGCAGGATAGGAGGGCAATGTCTGTCAGGCAGCATGAGATTCTGAGTGGAGAGAGTCGGACATCTTTTGCTTCTCAGGCTGCCTTCTCTTCCCATAGTGTGCCACCCCTCTGTGGCAGGGACAGTCACCCAGCCTCTGTCCCTGGGAAACCTGGAACTCTGTGGGCGGTAGATGAGCAGGCAGATGTAGCTCCATCTTTGCCTTGTATCTCAGGCTCCCCCTGCAGTGGTTCCTTCCTTGCTGCCTCACTGGGAGGTTGTGGTATTTGGAGATAACATATCTGACAAGGGATGTCACTCCATGTGCCCTATGTTACTGCCAGGCCGTAAACGAGGAAAGTTCCTGCAGGGGAAGAGGCCACCTTGGCTTCACCTTCAGAGGCTCCTGCCCCGGGAGGTGGGTTACTTCCTGATTGGCAGGATGGCAGAAGTCCGATAGCCCTTGGTTCGTGCTCTTGGTCTTTGTCACCTTCTTTCTTTCTGGCTTGTTTTGGGGATGAGCCCCCCCAGTGGCCCTGAGAGAACATCCCTCAAGGACAGCTCTGGCACCAGGAGTCTGGATGAAGTCAGAGGCCAGGAGGCCATGATCATCCAGCCGCTTTGCACGCCGTTCTTTCAGAGAAGGGCATCCAGGAAGCCTAATCTGGCCTCAAGTCTAGGTTGCTTTCGCTAATCTAGCTTTGTGAATAAAGTGGAGGTTTTAAACTCTCTCTCTCTCTTCTGTGTCTACTTTTAAATCATCTGGAACCCAGAAACGATGGGCTATGAGTGAACCGCAACAAGATACCTATTACCCAGCACTTCTAGCTGGCAGCCGTTTGCCTTTCTTAGGTATTAGGGCACAAGAATGAGCTTACTTAGACCTAGTGAGGTGGCTCATCTTGGTTGAGGTTATGGAGTCCTAAGATTTCATTCTGAGTTGAAGATTTTAGTGGCTAAAATAAGATTTCAAAGCAGCAGTGGTTTTCTAGGTGGGAATATTCATCCTAGAATCACCTTGCATTTATCTACTGTGTTTTATGATGCAGTTTATTTCATAGAATCATAGAACTCAAAGTCACAGAGTTCATCTTTCACCTTGATTGTGGAATTTCCTTGGACATCTGCATGTGTCTAGGTTCTATTTAGCCCCCTGCCATGGTGGGGAGCTCCCTTGGTCTCCAGGCAGATACTTTGTGCCAGCTCTACTTGTTAGAAGGTCCTTTGAATTGAACTGTGCCATTTGGTACTTTCTTTCATAAGTTTGTCCTCCCAGGCACCTTATCAATTAGCCGTTGCCACAATAATGCTGCCCAACAACCCAGAGGAAACTCAGTGTCAAATAACAGTGAGCATGATTTTCCTGCTCCTGGGTCTGAGCTTTGACTATAGCATGGCTGATCTGAGTTGGGCTTATTGACCATGTGGCCATACCGCTAGCTCTGTGGTGGGCATGGCTTGGTTCTTCACTATTGGTTGAGCTCAGTTCTTCTTTGCATGTGTCTATTCTTGGTCCCATGGTGCAGGGGGTATCAGGGCCCTGGGGCACATTCTTCTCACAAAACATGATGGTGATGCAGGAGGGCAAGCTCAGCTAGGCATGCATATTTCAGGCCTCTGCTTGACCCATTTTGTTGATATCCTGTTTACCAAGGCAAGTGCAGCCCAAAGTCAGGGATGGCGACACGTGCTCTGCCTTTTCTGGGAGGCCAAGGATATGGACCCTAGGAGGATTGAAGACCTAGAAACAGCCATTTAATCTGTCAAAGCCACTCCAAAGGGCCTCACTTTCTTTCTATGGACAGCCTGTTTAATGCTTGAGAAAAGTAGTCATGTTTTCTGCAAAGAGTAATAGCATAAACTTTGACACTGGAGAGAATCAAAATCCCATCCATCCTTCCTTGTCTGGGTGGCCCAGGGCAAGCCACTCAATTTTCAAATAAAATGAAAATCCTCTACCTCCCATGGTTATTCTGTAGATTAAATTGAACAATATATATAAAAGACACCTAGCATCCCACTGGTACTGCTTAAGTGCTTACCAAGTATTACCCTTTATTCCAGGCTGAACATCTTCTAGTTGGTTCTCACATTTCTTCCCTGCTTATTGAAAATATTCTGCTTTTTATATGTCCTCCTCTCATGTATAGAATAATTCCGTGTACTGAATGCAGTGTTTAGGGTAGTTTGTGGTTATTCCCTGTGCTGAATGCAAGGCTCCAGGTGGAATATGTTAAGACGTCACCTCCTTTAGTGTAGAGGTTCTGCTTCCATTGAGACAACCCAAGCTTGCATGAGGTTAGGTTTCACAGTTCGCCCTTTTGAGATTGCAGTTCACCAAATTCCTGGGTTTTTATTCCGTGCTTCTTTTAGGAGCCGCTGGATGTAATGTTTCTTCTGTAAATATTTATAGACTGTCTACTTTGTAGACATATTCATACATATGACCGTCTCTTAAATCTTAAAACAGCCTTATTGAGTAGAGTTTTTAATTCCCAGTTACAGAAGAGGATACTCAGGTTGAGAGAGGAGATAGCATCTTCAGGATTAACAGATGCTCTTATAGGGACTTGATTTCTGGCCACATGTCTATGGATGTGACTTATTATCAGAAGGATTTTATTTCTCTCTCCTTGTCTCTACTTCCTGCTCCCTGTGTGGGTCTCCAGGATCCTTCATGATGGTGAACAGCTCTGGGAGAGCCTCTGGCCAGAAGGCCCATCTTCTCCTGCCTACCCTGAAGGAGAATGACACCCACTGCATCGATTTCCATTACTACTTCTCCAGCCGCGACAGGTCCAGCCCAGGAGCCTTGAATGTCTATGTGAAGGTGAACGGTGGGCCCCAGGGGAACCCTGTCTGGAACGTGTCTGGGGTCGTCACTGAGGGCTGGGTGAAGGCAGAGCTTGCCATCTCCACATTCTGGCCACATTTCTACCAGGTATGGCATTTTACTATGGTTTGATTTTTTGAAAAGTAATAATCTATGTATTTCTTGCCCTGCCTAGAATTGTTGAGAAAGGACTTCATTTACTCACTCACTTGTTCAGCTTGTGTTCACTGAGCTTCCCTTACCAGGCCCTGTGGATGTAGAGGTGGTCCCGCATAGCCCCTGCCTTCCTGGAGATTATGATCTGCAGGAGGAAACTGATATATAAATAAATAATTACAGTATAGCAGGATGCATGTGGGCTCCTCAGGACGCAGGAGGAGCATAGACACTGAAGCCTTTTATAAAATAATTGCTGGTTGCCACAACCTGATGAAGGAGGTTCTGTTATCACCCCTACTTTACAGATGAAAAACATTGAGGTCCAGAGAGATGAGATAACTAGTCAAAGATCACCTCTGGGGAAGAGGGTGTTGGGGAGAAGGCAATTAAGATGACTTCTAAGAAGAGATGACAGTCAGGCTGAGTCTTGAAGAATGAATTAAAAATGATTGAAAAGGGCCTTTGGGTTGTCAGGGATACCACATGCCTTGGGCTGGAGGAATGAGAGAGTTTAGAAACTCTAGGGTGTCTAAGGGTAGGTTACAAAGGAGATATAGAGGGTGCTAAGCTTTCAGAGGTCAGCAGGCCGTGGCCGGCTCTGAGGGCCAGGTTGCAGAGAAGAAACGTGCTCTGCTGCCTGGAGGAGTGCTACTCAAACCATCTATGCTGAAAGAGCAGTTTTTCTCCTCAACTCACTGTGGACTAGCACTTCTATATCTACAATAAATATGTTGCAGCAATGCCGAATTGCTGTAACTGTTTCTAAACACCTCTCTGTCTTTCCCTACTAATCTCATTGTGGACTGAGAACACACAGGGCACAGACTGGCATCGGCCGCAAGCAGGCTCGGAGGAGCACAGCTCCAGGTCATTTTTGTTTGGGACTTTTGAACACTGTTGTTTTTTTTAAGCAACTTTATTTAGGTACAGTGTACATATCGTAGAATCCACCTATTTAACCATGCAATCCCATGACTTTTAGTAAATCTACTGAGTTGTACAATCACCACCGTAAACCAGTTCTAGAAGAACATTTTTATCCCCCAGTAAGATTCCGTGTGCCTGTTTACAGTGAATCCCCAAGCCCACTGTTGAAAGGTTTGAAGTAAAAAAGTGACACAGTCAGATTTGCATTTTGGAGAAATTTCTCTGGAGTCTGAAGCAGAAGGTGGTCTTGGGGAGGTCAAGGTCAGAGATTAAGAGCTTCTCAGACATCCTTCAGTTCAACATCCATGGCACAGTCCTTTCAGATATACTGGGCAGGCTGTTGTAGACAATATGTAAATGAGTGAATATAGTTGTGTTGTAATAAAACGATGTGTGAAGACAAGTGGTGGGCCAGATGTGACCTCCAAGCCATAGCTTGCTGAACCTGATGTAGGTGACAAAACTGAGCTCCAGAGATGGACAGTGAAGCCAGGGGTGCACAGCAAATCACTGGCAAAGCTGAGACCAGAACCCAAATGCCCTGGTCCTAGACTCTCCCCTTGCATCATTGAGTATCAGTGGAAGTGTCTCTACAAGAGAGGCCTCAGGTCTCCAGTTAGAAACCCCCTGTGATGCAGAGCCTTGATGCAGATGGGTACAGGATAGGGCCACAGGTGCAAGTATAATGAGCAGGAAAAGTGACCCAGGAGAGGGACAATTCTGTTACTGACCATGCTTTCTGATGGGGTACAGAAGGAAAAAGGACATTTCATGGGCATCCCATGGCCCAGCTCTTTGGTAAGCATATTGCCTCTCATTTATCTGTATAGTGACGGTCTGTGTTGGGGAGTAACATGTCCTATGCCCTATAGGGGATATTAGTGGTATATTGAAGTCCCTATTATCCTGCCTAGGTCTTCTGGCTCCAAACTCGGTTTCCTGCTTTTAGCAAAAAAAAAGCTTATCTGTCCTGAGAATCATCTACTCACTAGCTGTGTAATGTTGGCTGTGTCCCAGAGTCATTCTGAATCACAGTTCTCTCATTTTCAAAATGAGGAGGGTAAAAGGATTAATGAAGGATTAAAGGAGATAGCGTATGTGTAGCATCATGTCAAGCTTGCAGTGGGCTGCAGCAATTATTGGAAAGAAGGGAGGAGGAAGAGAAGAAAAAGTGGAAAAAGAGGAAGGAGGAAGGAAGCTTTTTTCAAGAAATGACCACTTGGTTGAGCTGTCCTCCGAAGCCTGTGCTGTCCCTGTGATAAGCAGCCTCCTATGGGAGAATTTTCTGATTTCCAACGTGTTGGCCACTACAATGTCATTATGTGGCATTACATCCTCTACTCTGAGATTTCTGGTGAAAAGGCCACTAATGCACTGAGAGCAGCAGTTTAGAAATGACATGTCACACATACGCACAGCCACCGCTGGCTAGTCCCATAGCCACACACACGGCGTGGTACACACAGGTGCGCACACACCTGCATGCTCTCCGTCTCCCTGCACACTCCGGGGCACCCACCCACACCTACTGGATGACGAGAAGAGGGCACATGCCAGAAGGTTTAAAGACATTTGCAAAACGGATTTTAAAATTCGCCAGACCCTGAGCTCTGGGTCTGCATGTATGATTCTGTGGACTAAATACGATTTCAGTTTTCAGCGGTGCTGGGCCTCAGATCCTGATGGCTTATGTATTCATTTATTAAAGTCATATTTCACAGTCCTAAAATTGGCTTTTAGCCCTGCGATAAACAGGGAAATTTCATCATTCTTATTAGTGGGCATTCTTGCACCTGGACTTCAGTGGGGCCTGGGATGAGGGTACCCCGCTGCCATCAACCCCCACACCTGCCAGCTCTCAGTAGAGCAGGGTCTTATTAAAATAGCTTAAGCCATGCTTTAGATTACTGCTCCCTTCCAGGTGATATTAATTCTATTTCATGTTTTTAATGATTCTAAACTTTGCTGTCCTAAGACTTAAAAAGATAAAAGGAATTTGTATTAATTTCACAGCCACTTGCTCACTCTGATCTCCAACACCTGTCTAGGTGACACGACCTGTTATTTGGCACTTGTCATTTCCATGGAGACCATGAAATTTAGGACTCACTTGACTTGGATTCAGCTGGACTCGAATCACAGTCTCTTTTTCAGGAATTTCTCTGGCATCTGGCAGGCTGTAGGTTTAGTTACTTCACCCACAGTTCAGGAGGGTGCATCACAGGGAAGGGGGCACTCCCCCACCCTCCAAAGTCCACCCTTCTCTTCTTATTTGCCCACCCCTCAGCTCTAAGCAGCAACCCCCACTTCTTTGTTCTATTCAGGCCTCTTTGGGCTGGTGCAGGCAAGAGTGTCTGTCTTGATTTTACCCTAAGCCATCCTTCCCCATGAAAATATATGTGGTCCTCTTCCTAAAAGGGGGTCTGGAGAGCCAACATTTTTCTGTCTCTTATCTTTTGAGAAAATGTTTGCAGCCTCTTGAAATTTTTGCTACATAGATTCTCTGCTCAAGGACTATAAAAGGTTAGTATAAAATGCCAGCTCTCTTAAACCATTTCCTGAAACATCCACACCCTCCCTCCAAACAGATATACAGCCTGCTTTTTGGGAGGGGTTGAGGGCTAGGGGGTAGCGGGTCTGAGCCTCTCTTGGGAATTTATTTCCTGGCTTTGCCCAACAATGCATGCACAGGAAGAGGTTTGTGCCTTTCCATAGGAACACTATCTCCCCAACACCAGAATGCCTCTAAGACCTTCTAGAGCTGGGGCGTGTGCAGTTGACAGTAGGTCCACATGGCAGCCTTGGGGTTGAAGAACGTCCTGCAGAGAAGTTGGGATCCCCAGCCTATGCCTTTCGCTCCAGGCCCTGCCCCCACCCCCCTACCATGGCCCCTGCCTCCATCCTCTGACCGTGGAGCATCACTGGGTATTGGCGTGGCCCGCTTCTGCCTTCCCACTCCTCCACCCTCCCAGTTTTTATTATTTTTACTATCATTCAGTCTCAGATGATGAGATTCCCCTTCTAGTTAGTACCCATCTCCCCACTGGTATCCTGACCCCAGCTGACTCCTACTCCCTCTAGAATGTTGTTTCATCAATTTCTCACCCCCTTGTATGTCACGCTATTTCTCTGATTCATTCTTCTCTTCCTACAAACATTTTCCAATCTCTGCCATCCTCCCAAGTCCTCTACTGGGCTTTTAGCCCTTGGCCTTGGAACTACATCTTCTGTCTTCCAACATGACCTTATTTAGTTCTATACCTTTAAATGGCATTTAGATGCCAAAGCCACTACAACTGTTACTCTGGTCCTAAATCACTCATGGATATGCCAGTTTCCTACACGGCATATCCATATTTAATTGGCATCTCAAACTTAAAGTGGCTAAAAGGAAGGCTTGATGCAGCCCTGCCTGCTTGCCCGTCCATACACATTCATCGTGTCATCTTCCCTGGGTCAATAAATGATGTCAGAATCAGATGAGAAGCTCAAGACACAGCCTGAAGAGTTCTCCCCAAGGTTCCCTTTCCTTCCCTTTCCCCCCTCATAGCACAACAGCAATTAATTTTCATCTCTACTTTCAAAATATCTCTCAAACCATCAGCATCTTTATTCTCCATAGCCAACACCATCATCAAAGACATCTTCATCTTCTGATTGGATGACTGCAATAGCCAATTGATAGGTCTCTTTGCCTCATTCTTGCTCAGCTGCGCACCTCCCAGTTTCCACACAACAGTCCCAGTGATCTTTCTAAAATGTAAATCAGATGTCACTTCCTCCCTTTTAATCTTTCAGTGACTTAGAAGGAAACTGAAGCTCCCTGCTATGTCTTGTGAGACTCCATGTCATCTGACCCCCAACTAACACTCCAGCCCTGCCTTGTGTCTCTAGCTTTCCAGCTGTATCCCAGCCACACCAGCCCCATTCTCGTGTTTCCAGATCACCCAAGCTCTTCCCTGCCTTGTGGCTTTTGCTCTTTCTGTCACCTCTTGCTTGACTGGCCACTTTCATCTTTCTGGTCTCAACTTAATTATCACTTTAGAGTTCTCTCCCGACCACTTTAAGTAGATCCCCTAACCCTTAGTTATTCTTAATCACATTCTTTTTATTTCCTTCATAATACTAATCACAAATGAGTTTAATTTATTTGTTTGTTTCATTTCCACTTCTATTCACTAGATTGTGAAATGCATTGAAACTAGGACCTTAATTGTCTTGTTCACTTTTATAGCCCCAGCAGGTGTCCCAGTATTTGGTTCAGAGTATAAATGAGTGAATGGATGAATGAAGACACTGTTCCTGGTCCCAAGGGATTTTAGGGACTGAAATGATTCATGAACAAGCCACTGCAATATTGTGTGATAGGTCCTATAGTGGAGTAAAATGTACAGTGAGTGGCACATTGTGATAGAATAATATGCAGAGAGATGTGAAAATGTGATGAAACAAAAACATTTGATTTTTATTATAATTATAAAATAGCTCCTTTTTATTGCAGAAAATTTGGAAAATTGAGAAAAGTATAAAGAAGAAAATATTGACCAACCAACCTCCCTAGTATGATTTAAAAAATTACATTCATGTATTATTACCATTCCTACTTCATCTTTTGTGATTTACCTGCTGAAGTCACTTGCCAATTTTTCTTTTGGAAAGTTTATTTATTTTGTAGATTCTCAATAATTCTTTTCACACAACAACAGGTTATTTACCTTTAGCTGGTACATATATAGATTTCAAATCTTGTTCTCAACTTACATGTGGCTTTTAATTTTGTTTTAGACTTTTGTTAACATATAAAACACACTTTGACATCATAGTTATTAAGAAGGTATTAAGATGGTATTACGTATTTAAGAAATACACATTTCAATTTTCAGAAATTGGTTTTTAAGCTTTTGTCATTAATTTCCAGCTTTAGTTAATTTGGTTAGAAAATGTATAGACCAGAACCTACCCAGTTTCTTCTTTGAGAGATTTATTGAAGCTATACTTTATGGTATGATTTTGGTAAATAATTGATGAGCATTCAAACAGAAATTTCATTTTCTGTTTATATTCATAACATATAATTAGTAAATGCATTATTATATATTTATTTTTTCCTATTTGATTGGTCACAGTTGAAAACATGGGTAAAAGTCTTCAAATACTGTTTTTTCCCCATCATTTTCTCTTTCTAACTGTATTGACTCATGCATTTTTAAAAAATGACCATTTTAGTCCAATTAATGGTTTTCATTTTTCTTTTTGATTTAAATTCTACTCTTATGCTTTTACAGTATTTTTGCAATAACTGTTTTCTGTTTATTTGCATTGCCCAAATCCCTGGTGGGTTGTAGTGCAACCCACTGAAGCCTGTATCTCAGGAAGGATGGCTCATTGGACAATGAGGGAGATGGTTTAGTAGGGAAGCTGCTCAGACCTGTTGTGTACAGACGGCACACACAGAGGCATCTATATGATATCTAGGTGCAAATGCAGACCTGTGAGCTGGGTGGGCATTCATGTGGAAGGTATAGGGAGCTGGCTTGGGGATTATCTGTGGATTGGCAGCTGAAGGGAAGAGTGTGGACAGCAAGAATGAGCAGAGGAGTCCCACATCTGAAGAGTAGATGTAGGAGAAGTGTTTACAAAGGAACCTATGGTAGAATAGCCCAGATTGATGAGAAACACCATGAGAATGAAATGTCACTTGATCCTTGATAGAATAGAGAACAGAAAAGGAGAAGCTACAAGCGTTGCAATGGTAGGAAAATGGGCAAGTAATAATGAGAATTATAGCAAACGTTTACTGAGAACCTCCCGTGTACCTACATTGTTCTCAGAAGCGTGTTAACGTTTCTGAAAAATTACCCAATGAGTAGACACCATAATTACAGATGAGGAAACTGCTGCACAGAGCAGAGAGGTTACTTTGGCCAAGGTCACACACTACTAAGTGGTCTAGCCAGGACTGCAGCCCAGGCATTCTGACCCAGAGCCTAAGCACTATACTGTCTTCCTTCTTAAAGTTAGATACAGGTTGAAAAAAAAACCTATTTGATTTAGTAACTAAGAGATAATAGGTATATGTGTTGAGAGCATGGCATGAGTTTTGCGGTTAGTGTTGGGGACAGAGTCTGGATAACAGTGGGTTGAAATTTTGCAGTGGGAAGTAAGGAAGTGTTGAGAATGAGTGTAGATAAAATTGCTGAGAATTCCAAGTGTGATTGAAACACAGCTGGACTGTACTAGGGAAGAACATGCTGCCCAAGGGTAGCTCTTAAAGAACAAGAGAAGACCATGATTTGCATGTCAAAGTCAGGGATAAAACGGAGGGTTTGGAGATGCTAGATAAAGGGAGAGAACGGAGAAGAACCAAGGAGCTAGAAAATACAGCTGAAGTGTGGGGATCAAGAGTGCAGGGGTGCCTTTGGAGAGGAGGGAGTGGCTGATGTGCAGTCATCTACGGTGCTCTCCAACCTATGTGGTTGGGTTGGTGGGTAAGAAGTTAGCAGTCAGCCCATCTCGTCCTCTGGAAGATGTGATGTGGGTATCTGCTGGGGTTGGGTGGGTAAAGTTGGAAGGGGAACACTTGTGTGGGGCACAGAAGTGGAGAAGGCAGATCTGCCCTAGGCTTGCCCAAATTGACATAAGGAATTGGGGCTCTCAGTGAGAACGGTGTTGGATAAACCAGCACGGGGTGAGGGGAGGGACCTGGACTTGTTGAGAATACAGGGCAGTCCAGGCAGGCAGACAGACTCTAAAGTGGAGGCCCAGCACCACATAAGAGCTGTGCGGCAGGGTAAGAGGAGCGAGTTGTGGAGGAGCGTGGGGTAGATCAGGAGGCTGGGTCAAAAGGTGGGAAGCTGGAATTTACAGTTTCTGGAGTGGACTGGGACAAGTCTGAGGGCATGGCCAAAGCAGATGAGAAGATGAGGCCCTTGGAAACAGGGAGGCCATGGCTATTGGTCATGTTATCCACACATATTCCTATCTCCTAGGTGAGTGTGGAGGTTGAGTGACAAGGAAAGCTGTTAACTAAGTTATCAAATCTTTCCTGAAAGAGGCAATTTGGGTGGGAGTCAGAATGGAGAATTCAAAGAACTTGTTGCCTTGGATTCCTGGATACCACCAGCTGTGCATTGCACTTATTTTCAAGAGGGGTACTTAATTCAGGTGGAATATATTCCTTGGGAATATAGAATCAAATCAGGGTCAGCCCTCCTCAGTTTACAGTAACTTCCAAGATAAGTGTTCCCTCCACCTTCATGAGAAAGTTGGGATATTAGGAAGTAACTCTTCTCCGTGATTCACTTGAAACAGCAATGAAAGGCACAGATTGGGGTCCCTAGGCCATGTTTGGGTTTTTTTCCTGCATCCGAGAGATATGTGTGAAATCCATTAAAAATGTTCCATGTGTCTGCCTCTTCTTTTGCTAGTCACCAGACTGTGGCCTTTTGTATCTTGTTCTGAAAATCCAAGTCAATTGCCAGGGTAGCACTCGAGCCACACAGAAGGCCTCTTTGGGTGGTTCTGATGGGAAGCAGAAACATAAAGGGTTTGGGGACTGGGCAGATTCCTGTGATGAAGGCCCACAGCCACTTCTGTGAAACTGACTCCCACCTCGTGTGTTGCAGGTGATATTTGAATCCGTCTCTTTGAAGGGCCATCCTGGCTACATCGCTGTGGACGAGGTGCGGGTCCTCGCGCATCCTTGCAGTAAGTCCGCTCCCTCCCCCTAACACAGTCTTGCTCGGCACCACACTCCATAACTTGGAGGCTTCCATCCGCACTATTCATTCAGCTCACAGACATCTCGCACGCTCTCTCTTTTTTGATCCTTCAAAAATGCTTACAGACTCAACGCAATCAGTCCTGAATAAATCCATAATTTTGCTGGCCTGTTCAACAGGCAGCAGCACCTACAGGAATTTGCAGAGAGTGGCAAAACATCTTCGTTTGAATCTCTCTCCATTATTAAGGGAGTCTAAAGTCCTGATTGTTTATTAGTGGGATTCAGACCACTGAAGTGGAAGAATTAGAGGGCTTTGGATAGAATCTGGTGCGATTGTCTTAAAAAAAGAACAACACCAAAACACTGAGCAAATTAGCACACTGTTCACTCACAGGGAAAAGTACCCCAGAGCTATTAATTCTTTAAAAGTAATTTTAAATATACTCATCAGCTCTGTGTAGGCGTATGGAGAGATTTCTCCTAGTGGTTAGTACTTACCGTACAGTGTCAGGAGTTCTCAAAGGCCTGCCTTTCCTCCATGCCCATCCAGGTCCCCCTTAAAGTTCTTCCTCTTTGCTGTATTTATTCCAAGATACCGGAATGTGTTTGAGCAAGGAGCTGTGGTTCCCAGGTTCACTAAATCTCAGAGGGGCCAATCTTGGGTGCAGGTGTTTGAAGTGGCATCAAATTGAGTGACTTGTGGTGGGGAGACTGTCATCAAAGGGATATACATGGGCTCGCTCAGCTCTTACGAGGGCAGCTGGGATGCCAGCCCTGTTAGTTTGTTAGTGTTCTGTAGACTGAAGATGCCCATGAATATCTGGGCAGCCATCTGATTCCAGGTAACTCCTAGTAGGGCTCTCTTTCCTTCTTCCTTCCGGCTGTGAGTCATGCTATGTGTCATGGTGCAGTTTATCCTTCTCAGGAGATGTCATGTGCCCTGTCCTTCCATGCCTTCCTCTTCTCCCATTTTGGGGCTCTTCTTATCAGCCCCATCCAGGTTTCTTTAATTAGAATGACTCTTTCCACTTGTGCCACAATAAATTTGTCAGAGCCTCAAACATTACTCCCTTCTCCTGGCACGAGAATGCCATTGTTTGACACACGGGCACAGAGCGATGTCTCTGGAGGAATTTGGGGTAGGCTAAGTTCCAAGGGATTTTAGCAAGATAGTATTTTGCATAATTGTATTTGGTGTCTGTGCGAGAAAAATCTCCTTCCCAGGAATCAGTCAGCATCTCAGGAATGCTGAGATCCTCCTAGACTCTCCATTACTCTGGCTTAAGGTACCTAAGTCTCTGGGTTACTTCTGAGTCTGGGATTTTCTCAGACTGTCCATTCAGTTATGCCTGGCAAATGCCTCTGTTGAAGCAGACCTCCTGTGACGGGAGTCCCAGAATCTGCCCAGCTCGGCAGGGTTTATGTAGTGGATATGCCGGTGAATCCCTCTTACTGGGATTAAATCTCCCGCTCCCTCAAACTCCTGGGAATCAGCATCAGCTGCCCTTCAGAGAATGATCTTTGACCTCTGACCGGGCAGCTGTGTCTGGAGATGTCCCTCTGCCTGTGGTCCACTTAACCTCACACAGTCAACAACTCAAGACCTCGGTTTTGAGGCTGTCTCTCTGCAAAGGGCTTCAGCCCTCCCCACGCCCTGCGCACATCCCTTCCTCATGGGGACCCTCACCTTGGCTGTTGCCAGCTGTGTTCGTCTTCCTTACCCCGTGCTTGATCCTTGCACTGGTCTCTGTAGCAGGTGAGGGGTTTGCTCTTCGCAGGACAATCTGGCCTGGCTCTATCTCCTGGGATCCCAGAACTCTGCTCTCTCCACTGTAAGACCCAACCTGGCACCTGTCTCTTGTCCCATCTTCACCTCTGCCTTAATTTCCAGCACTGTCCAGGTTTGCCATTACAGCCAAATGCTTCCTTCTGTCTGAGAGACCTCCACTGGAGAGGGTTCTCAGGAGGACACCCCCACACTCCCTTGGAATCTCACTCACTGGGGCTGCTCCTGAATTTCGGATTCTCCTGACAGCTTGTACTCCTCCTGCTGAGGAGCGTGGATTGCATGGTCATGAAATTTCTGAGAGCCAGTTACCCAGCCAATGGGCCATGGGTCATAACTCAGGAAGACGTGACCCTGCCTGTGTTCCTGTGTAATGGGCTTCGGTGAGTTCAGCCTCTGTGCTTAGGCGGCCTAATTTAACTTCCCAGAAATCAAAATGTGAGGACCCTGTGACAGTGGCTGGAATTGGAAAAAGTCCATGTAACTGTATATATAAATCCTGGCAGCGCAGTATGGACCTGAGCGGTCTGTCCACAGCTCATGAATAATGTGGAGCTGAGTAGGCCCTGGCACCAAGGACCTGTGTTCAGCCCATATCCAGTTTTTAGTTATCCTTTTTTTCAAGAAATAAATTATTGAGCATTAGTTATTGTGAAGAATGCCTGCTGGACATTGGGAATACCTAAGTGATCGAGATAGGTTAGACGCTTCCCCATGGTGTTGCCTTAGCAGAGGGGCAGAGGGAGAAAAGACATTTAGTAACTAGTATTACTTATATAATAGAATAAATGTGAGTGACTAGGATCTGGGGTGTGGAGGGCTCCTTAGAGAGGGGGTGTCAGGAGAGGTGCCTTTGAAGATGTGACCTGAGCTGAGACAGTTATAGAAGGAGTTCACTGTGTAACTTGGGGAGGGGCATTCTAGGCAGAGAAAAGCAAGTGCAGAGGGCCTGCAAGGGAATCAGCCCAACACCACCAGGCATCCAGAGCACGGGGAGTACAGTGGGGGAGGGGTGTGAGCGGATACTGTGGGGGGAGGCTGGGGCCTGACCATGCAGGGCCCCGAGCCACGTGGTCGTGAGCAGTTCAGATCTTACTCCAAGTGCAGGAGGCACCACTGGATGGATTCATGCTGGGGAGTGACTTGATCTCATTTAAGTGTGAAAAGATCACTTTGACTATTCTGTGGAGAATGAATTGAAAGGGAATAGAGAAGTCAAGAGACCTACTAGGAAGAAAGTTCTGGGGTCATGCAAGAGAAGGTGGTGGCCTGGGCCAGGATCGTGGAGAGACAGCCATTCACCATGTATGTACTGAGCATGTGCTCCACGCCAGGCACTGTTCTGGGTCTGTGGGGGATAGTCAGAGAGCTCCATTCTCTGTCCTCATGGGCTTCCACTGAAGTAAACGGGACTGAAAATGAAGCACACAATCAGCTAATTATATGACCTCCAACAGAGGATTTATTAGTCTGCTTGGGCGGCCATAACAAAGTTCCACCAACTGGAGGGCTTATGCATCAGAAATGTATTTTCTCGCAGTTCTGGAGGCTGGAATCCACGAGGAAGATGGCAGGTTTGGTTTCTCCTGAGGCCTCTCGCTCCCCTTCACGTGCACTGGCCACCTCACTCTGTCCTCACATGGTCTTTGCTCTGTGTGCATGTGCCCCTGAGGTGTCTCTGTGTGTCCAGATTTTTTCTCCTTAGAAGGATACCTGATAGATTGGATAAGGATCCACTCTAACTGCTTCATTCTCCCCTTCACAGGCCCTTTCTCTAAATACAGTCACAGTCTGAGGTACTGAGCATTAGGGCTTCAACATATGAATTTTTGTGGGGACACCATTCAGCCCATGACCGGTGGTAGGCAGGGCTCTAAAGAAGCACAGAACATAGGGGTCAAGAGAGGTGGACAGGTGGGGGACCTACTTAGGAGGCAGAGCCAGCTGATCCCGTGTGACGGGTTAGACTGGAAGCCAGACACATCAGTACCGCTCTACTCCCACATTTCTGGCTGAAGCAACTGGGTCGTCCTGCTGGGGGTGGTGTGATTCTGGGGCAAATGGAGTTGAGCACAGGCGCTACCTTCCAGCCGAGCATGGGTGCTGGGGGCTGCCCGTGGGATCAGGAGCTGCGCAGTCTGCTAGTGGCCTCTGAGCTGCCCTTTGGACTGATGGTGCTTTTTCCCCAACTCCAGCCATAATATTAATGCATTTATGACTTTACTCATGGATTATTCAAAATTTATCCTCAGGCTTTGTAATTCTCTACACCTGTGCTCCCAAACATTTTTTTCCATTGACACATGGTCAGTGTTTATTAATAAGTGATTCCACTAAATATTCCAAAAGTTCCAGGTGGGGGGTTGTACCTGATTTGTAATCATATTCCTGATTGATTTGCACTGAAGTTATGACTTTAAAACACTTGCCTCGCAGCTTCTGAAACAGCGACTGAAAAACAGGCATAATCCTCAAAGGAAATGATTTTCTCTTACAAACGGAAACTTCTCGTTTATATTTTATAGCCCATTTAACATTTTTGTGTTTTTCTAAAAGTATTTTAGCCGTAGTTGCCCTCCGCCGTCATTTCTCAGTGTTAGCCATTAGCACGGCCAATGCCATTATAACCATGTGCGGTAAATGTCAGCACAATTTTCCACTTGGTTTCAAAGTTTCCAGCTCTTAAGTTGACTTTTAGAATTTCTTAAACTTTTTTTTCCATCACATCCTTGTGGGGCCATGTCGCTGAGCCCACGGAGTGTCTGCAACACATTTCTAATGTATGTACTGGGCTTTCTCCTCAATTGTGTGGCTTCCTACTGAGCGCTGTCAGGTTTAAAGAGCCAGATAAAGGCCACAATAATATGTCTTCAGATGCTACTCTGACATCTGCAGGAGTTTAAAATGTCACTAGAATCAAAGTATTTTGCCCCAACTGCACAGCCAGTTTTCTGTTAACCCCATTCCATGGGGTCAGTTTTGGGGGTGCTGGGGCTTAGTGGGGAATGAGTGTGGAATGCCTAAAACCATGAGCTGGTGGCCGGTCTGGGCCCTAAGGTCAACTGTGTTTGACCAAAGATTGGGGAGCTGGACCTGGAGGGGTCATTGCTTTCCCAGAGCTATAGATGCTGCAGGAAAATAACAGCTGAGAGAGCCCAGGGCTCAGGATCAGACTGAAGTTGGGGGATGGGAGAAGGAGGTGTCCTGAGAAGCTAGGGGCTCAGAGAAGTGGGTCAAACAGGCCTCCAACACAGGAGGATCCCCAGAGAGAAACATCTGTCATGAGCCAGGGATCAGGCAAGGGTGCAAAGAGCAGACATAAGAATTAGGGCATGTGGACAGAGTGCTAATCGGGAGGAGGGTGGTCTGGATAAGTTCCTGGATCTGGAGCTGTGATCTGGGGCTGGCGTTCATGTGATCCTGCACCGTGATGTCTGGAGGGGTGGGGGGCATCACTAGACTTGTGGGGCCAGGCCAGTCAAGACTGGCCAGTGGGAATTGTTCCAGATCACTTCACGTAAAAGCTACATAACAGAGACCACAGAATAGAAGAGCATACTCTTAGATGTATTTTGTTATATCTGCCTGGTGTTTCAGTAAAATTCAGCCAATATTTTAGAATGAGGGATTTTACATAAAACCTAGGTTTCTTACTTGCCTTAAGAAATCAGGTGATGGGCTGCCCTGAGCAAAGTATTCTTGGGCAGACTCTATCTGCTGCATTTAAGGAACAGCTGCCCCTTTTCGGTGGGACATGGCCTTTATCCTGTGCCCCTGAGTCCCCACCACTCCCTAGCACCTCCTTGTCACTGAGGCTGCCATCAGAGACCAGTGATTACTCTGCTTGCACTGCCTTTCTTACAGAGAGAAATCTTTATTTTACTCAAGTCTCTTTCAAAAGTAGGAGACTTTATGAAGCAAGAGGTGATGTTTTTGCTTGTTTTTGTTTTGTTTTACAGCTGAACCACTTTCTTCATTTATGTAACTGTCTGGTTTCTGTAGGTGCTTGGGTTCATCAACTGTGCTGTGAACCAGTCCGTGTTTCACCAGAATATTAAGAGTCAGGGCCACTAAGCCTCTCCATGCTCTACCGTGGAACTTAGAAGGGAGGGAGGAGGAGGGATTGTGGATGAGAGAATCCAGCAGAAGGTCTGCTGCTGAGAAGTACCAAGAGGCAGAAAGCAGCAGGGGCCATTGATCCAGGGAAGACCCATTTCTAATTGGACAACTCCCAGAGGCCACACAATTTGTCCACTGTCCCCAAGGAGACATCCCTTTCTAGAACCCAGCAGAAAGCCTCCCAGCACTGAGGCTAAGGCTCTGCCCTCCCTCCCTCAGTGGAGTAGATGCTCCTTCCCCCTTGACACCCTGGCATAAATGGATTTTCAAGGTTCACTCTATTCCCACTTGAGGAATCAACTTGAACTGATAGTTCCAGAAATAACTTCACAAAATTATACAGGGGAGTAAAAAGGAAACAATTTCAGACAGTCAAAGCAGCATGACATTTATCAGGTTGACTAGATGCAGGAACCTTTAACTCTGAGAAGCTCACAAGGAGAAGTCTTCCCTGGGCTTTTGATTGCTGGTGCTACTCTAGTGGTGGGGTCCCCAAGGTAGCGTGAGCGGGTCTCTGAGCTTTTATCACTGGTTTAAAAACCTGAACAGAAGGCATATGCTTGGGCACGGCAAGACTGCCTAGTCATGTCAAGGGTCTCAGCTTTTGCTGAGCTTTACAGGTGGCGACACAGTTTGTGGACCAGACAGTTCACAGCAGGAAGGCCATGGGGACAAATGGCAAGGAAGGGGGTCCCATGTGATAAAATGGTCAAGAGCAAGGAAAGGAGGCTGGAATGTCAGTGCAGCCCTGCCCGTGAGCCTTCCTTTGAACACTGGGGTCCAGATGATACCAGTGACCACTTATTGCCTGAGAGCAAGAATCTCATTTCTAGTTAAATGCCAAGTTTTGGTCTAAAATGGACGTGGACTTAATTCTGTTTCTCTCTCTCACTAATGCTGCATAGCTCTAGAGAAGTTAAACTCGCTGAGCCTTGGTTTCTGTCTCTCTGAAAGGAGAGTAATTGTGTCTGCTTTACAGGAATGTTATGACATTAAATTAGATAAAACAATTAAAGTTATTTATCACAGTCCTAGCATTGCAGGTGCTTTGGATAAGTTATTGTTATTATGAGATCATTGTTATTATTTGTCTTCCTGGATATTTGGCCACCTCTGGAAAGACGGCCAAAGGCCCTTGTTGAACCTCCTTGATCCTCTTAAGAACTGTGTGTTTGATCCCGTTCTGGGGGTAGTGCTGTCCTGCTCATCACCCATTTGCCGATGTGGTAGGGGATCCTCGGCATTTTTGTGCCTCAGTGAAGAACTTTCTTCGTCTAGACATAGGTTATCAACCCACTCTCTCATCTTTGGAGAGCTCACATAGGTGCGAACCTGTTTCTACAAAACAAGGGAAGAGATGAACCCAAGTTACCAGCCTAAAACATATATTTAATTCTAGAATCGATTGCTCACAGGCCCCCTGAGTTTCATTTGAAAGTCCCTTCTCCTGCTCTGCCAAGCGCCCAGAGTCAGGGCCCCACCTCCCTCCCATCCTTAGGGATATCATAGCTCACAGGGAGGGGTGTGGACTCTGCATGTTTCTTGAATTCTCTGTGCCTCACTTCACTCACTGTAAGACAGAGACACCACCACCAACTGCACTGGGTTCCGGAAGCTGCTGTGCGTGAACACTGCCCAGTGCAGCAATCGCACAGTAAGCCCTGCATGAGCAGAAGCTGCCCGTGTTCTCTGCCTCTCCTCCATCCTCCATTCTGCCCTCCTCATCATCACCACTGATGCTGGTAGGCAGGTCTCAGGCCCAGAGGTGCTTCACTCCAGCGTCTTCTTTCTGCTCACCCAGGTTACAGGGAGGAATCCTCTCTGGTGAATCCCCTCAGCCTCCAGTTTCATCTTCCAGACATGGAGGTATTGCCCAGCAACTAATAATAAGGATTTTTGAGGCTTTCAGAGACCTGGATTCATGGCTTGGCTCCCTGACTCTCTGGCTGTCTGACTGCCAATCTACATAGCCCCTCAGAGCCTTAGTTTTCTGGTGTGTGAAATGGAGACACTGCCCACCTCATGGATTTCTCTAAGGTGATGCATGTACAGCTCTTAGACGAGTAGCTGGCTCACCGTGAGTGATCAGTCAAGGGTGACTCTTCACGGAGCCAGGCCCCTTCCCAGGCACAAATTGCGCCCCGCCCAGTGCCCATCTTGAGCTGCCGTCCATCTGTAGAGAAGCGGTAGAGGCTGTTGACTTCTGTCCTCATGTGCTCTTTGGTTTCTCTTTTAGGAAAAGCACCTCACTTTCTGCGGCTCCAAAACGTCGAGGTGAACGTGGGGCAGAACGCCACGTTTCAGTGCATTGCTGGTGGGAAGTGGTCCCAGCATGACAAACTTTGGCTCCAGGTAAGGATGCTAGAGGCCCCTAGTCACACCTGCCTTTCCCTTGGAAAGGAAAAAACGTGGGCCTGTGATGAAGGGGTTGCTGGGGAAGGGGAAGGAGTATTTTTTTATGTACTTCTGCTTTTTGGATGATACTCTGCATCCATGATCTTGTTAAACCTTAATTCTAATTCTGTTATGTAGATATCAGTGTACTCATTTTATAGATGCAGAAACTGAGACCAACCACGAACATAAAAATGCCTGCACTAGTATTTGCAGCTATGACCTTTTCAGGCTTCCCTCTAACAAACATCCTTTAAGCCCAGATTTCTGGGGCTAAGGCAAACTGAGTATTTTAGATTCTTGGTGTGTGGCATCATAAAATCTTGACCGGAGGGATCTTGGATATCCAGTGGCCCACAGGCATCCTGCTTGTTGAGTCATGCCCTTCTGTGGCATCAGGATGAAATCAAAGGATCATCCTTTACCAGAATGGTTCACTAAATGAGCAAAGCCAGCTGTTCTTCGGCTGAACAAGTTCAGCAGCAAAGTCCACGAGGGAGATGTCTAAGTTTGAATCTGTTTCACTCTTATGTCTGTTCATTGATCCTACTTCTAAAGCAGGAGAAGAGAGCAGCTCTTTAATGGAGGTAGGAGAACAGGGTGGGACACAGAAGTAGGCACAAATAGTTGCAGTATCAGACACATTCCCATCCATTCGAACATAAATACCAAATGCCAGGACAGAAAAGGAGTTAGAGCTGTGCTTTTAAGTCAGTGGCTGCCAGCCACATGTGGCTGTTTAATAGTCTTTGGGTTTATGGAGATATCATTGAAACAGAATGTTTCAAATGTACAATTTGATCCATGTTGGCATATGTAAATATATGAAACCTATCACAGTCAAGATAATGGACATGCACATCAGCCTGAGAAGTTTCTTTGTCCCCAGATAAAATCTCTTCTTTTTACCTTTTTCATCCCATCTGTTCCCAGGCCATCACTAATCCACTTTCTGTCCTTTTATATTAATTTGCATATTCTACAGTTTTGTTTAAATGGAATCATGCAGTTTGTATCCTTCTTTCACTCAGCATAATTATTCTGATATTCATCTATGCCGTTGTATATACATAGTTTACCTAATTTTCGTGGTTGAGTAATACTCCATTCTATGAATATACCATGAGTTCTTTATCCATTCATGTCTTGATGAGCATTTGTGTTATTTCATTACTGGTTATTATAAAAAAAAAAGCTGCCATGAGCATTCACATGCAAGTTTTTATGTGGACATGTTTCATTTCTCTTGTGCAAATACCCAGAAGTGGAACAGTTGGTCATATAGTAGATGAATGTTTAACTTTGTGAAGAACTGCCAAGCTGTTTTCCAAAGTGGTCATACCATTTCACATTCTCATCAGCAATGTATGAGAGTTGTACGTCTGGTCAGTCTTCTTAGTTTTAGCCATTTGAGTAAATGTGTAGTGGTACCTCTCTGTGGGTTTAGTTTTCCCTTCCCCCGTGAATAATGCTGTTGAACATGTTTTGTGTGTTCGTTTGCCATCTGTATATCTTCTTGGGTGAAGTGTCTTGAAATTTTTTGCTCATTTAATATTGATTTGTTTCCTGGCTATTGAGTTTGGAGAGTTCTTTCTAAATTCTGAGAACAAGTCCTTTGTCAGATGTATACTTTGCAAGTATTTCCTCTCCATATGTGGTTTATCTTTTTCTTTTCAACAATAACATTTGAAGAACAAGTTTTTCAAACTTCACTTAATTTAAATTTACATCAAATTAATCTTTTTTTTTTCTCTTCTGGATTTTGTCATGGCATCATCCTAAGAAATCTTTATCTAACCCAATGTCCCAAAGATTTTCTCTTAAGTTTCCTTCTAGAAACTCAATAATTTTAGTTTTTATGTTTAGGCCTATGACCTGTTTTGAGTTAATTCTGCATATGGTGTTAGGTATGCATAGGAGCTTGTTTTCTTTTTTGTGGATTTGGATACCTCAGTTGTTCCAGTATCGTCAATTGAAAAGATCATTCTTTCTCCACTGCATTTGCTTTGGTCCACACATGGAGGGAGATTTTTGGGCTCGTTTCTTCCATTGATCTGTTTTGTCTATCTTTATATCATATCACACTGATTTGATTGCTGTAACTTTTATAGTAAGTTTTAAAATCAGGTATTGTTAGTCCTTCAACATTATTCTTCAATTTCAAGGTGGTTTTGGCTGTTTTAGGTCTTTTGCATTTCCATATGACTTTTTGAGTCACTTCATCAATTTCTACAAAAATCTTGTTGGGGTTTTGATGGAGATTGATTGCATTGAACCTATACATCACTTTGGGGAAAACTGACATCTTAGCAAGATGAGTGAGTTTTTTGTCTATGAACATGGTATAGTTCTTCATTTTTAAAAGATCTTTGGTAATATCACTCCTCAAGCTTTCACTGTTGTTTTCACTGTATAGGTCTTGTGCACTTTTGTCCCTAAGTACCTGGTATTTTTGATGCTATTGTAAAAGGCATTTAAAAAATTTCAACCTCTGATTTTTCATTGCTGATATGTCAAAATATAATTGACTTTATTATACTGATCTTGTATCCCACAGCCTTGCTAAACTTACATGGCTATTTACATTTAAATTTAAACAAACAGAAGTAAAAACTCAAATGTCCAGTTGTATTCACCACTTTGCAAGGGCACAATAGCCGTATACATTTAGTGTTGGACAAGCTCAAATAGAGAACATTTCCAGTGCTGCGGGAAGTCTTATCGGAGAGCATAGCTCTAGAAAGATACTGTCTCTGTCAGGAATATTACTTGGAAGAAGCTAACTTCAGCTATCTCTAGCTTAAATATTAAAAGAGCTCTGTCATCTCTTCTGACTGACATAGTTTGGATGTTGGTTCTCAACTCCTGACCAGCCATCTCTGCACCCTTTGATGGGAGTTCATGTATCACATCTCTTCTTAGAGTTGAACCCACTTCCTGCAGTTGAAGAATCCCTGGGCAGAGAGAGCATATCTAGGGGCTAACAGTTCTTCCTTGCTCCTCAGCAGTGCAACAGAAAGACAGTGACAGTAATGCCTACTGCTCCTGCTTCCCTGGGCTGCCTACAGACCACACAGTTCGCAGTAGACCTCCACATGTCCCTCAGACATTAAGTAGTGTTTTACTCTTTTCATTATAATTAGTATCCCAAGAAGCTTTGCCATTTCAATGGGTATTGCCTCAGTTGGGTCATGAGAATGAGAGAAGATAGTTGCAGTACATTCAGCCCCTTTATTTGGGTTTTCCAATTATTTTATGATTGTTATTGCTGCAGTTTGCAGTGGCATGCCCTAAAGGTTGGCTGTATCAGTGCAAAGATGTTAAAGCAGAATATAATCTAAGTTTTGAAGAAAATACAAGCACACAGTGTGGAGTTCTTCCACATCCTATTTATTTATCTACTTTTCAGTGTAAACCCAATCTTATTTCACAGAATGTTTTCAGGTGGCTTACAGTGGGACATAAATCGTGACAAGATAGCATAAATTAAAAGTGAGAAAACATGAGATAGGAGGAAAAGAACGCCACTGGAGCTGGTCGTAATGCTCAAACTGTTTTTCTCCACATCTGCTTCTTCCTTGATGGGTCACGCGCGGAGCCCACAGCACTGCTGTCACCACCAGAATAACGGAAACTTGTCATATATACAGTTCAAAATGTCCATGAGATAAACACAAACCAGTTGCTCAGGAAAATTCCAACTGTTGTTCATGCAGAAGCCAGACAGGAATTGTTCCCAGGAGTCCTCACAAAGAAAACAGCATGTGATGTAAGGAACAGCCTTCTCCATTACAGTATTATTGAGGGCACACGAGTGAGTTTTGTAGGCTTGTTTCCCATAATATGCTCTGTCTCAAAGCCATTTGTGGAGGTGGGCAAAGAGGGAGAGGGAGAGCTGGGTAATATGATATGGCAGAAGTCCCCAGCTCTCCACTAATCCATCTCCTTTCTGGGATACTTTCAGTGTATCTAGTGAGTGAATCGATTCAATAACTATTCCTTTAAGGAAATTGCCAGAAGTATTTCTCCCTCATCTGTATTTCAGGAAATATTGGAGGGTAGATGGTTACCCTATGCTCTCTGGCAAATGCCTGGTTGGCCAGTTGAATCCAGGCTTATATTCAACAGTGTAGTTGAAGTAGGATGATGTCTTTCACAAACTATGAGGCACCTGTCATGACACCCACCACCCAGAGACCCCTACGGCTTTGATCTGAGAAGGGCTAAGGCAGAGGAGAACTGCTCATGACCTATTGCTTTGGATGACTCCAAAGCACCTGGAGGAGCAGCCGACTGGCTCACTACATAACAGGGCTGGGGCAACTCAGCCTGAGAATCCCCAAAGCCCATGAAACAGGCCCACCATGGCCAAGAGCCGCCCAGGACACCTCCAGCAGGTCTAGTGTTCACCGTGCTGCATCCTGCTGTAGCTTTCGAGGTAACTGAGGAATCACTAAGTCACCAAAGGCAGGGACTCCTTGTCCACCAATTTTAAATCAGGAAAATAAAGGCAGAGACTTTGTTTCTAGAACAGTGTGTCAGGGGCCCTTCCTCCTGGCAATGGTTAGGAAACATCTGGTGGACTCATAGTGTGAGATAAATTCCTATCTTCCATGTTGTAGAGAATGCTTGCTTTCCCTTCCCAGCCTGCTCAACCTTAAATGCTTACAGGTCGTTAGGTTAAAAGTTACAAAGGAAGGCCAGCCCATACCTGGTTCACTTTCTCCTGGGAACTTTTTCTCCTCTTTAAAAGAGCCCATCTACTGGTCCCCATGTTCATGGAATTACGGTGCAGGCCCTGCTTAGGAACCAATGGGCGGCACCTGTGTAGAAATGTGTGCCCTGAGCAGAGAACTATCCTAGTCCTTCCAAGAAAAGGCTGGTGAAGCCTCATTAAAGTTATACACAAGCTCATCTTGCTCTGGGATGGTTTCTTCCTGAGGTGAGTACTATGGTGC